ATTGTCGGTTATTCTCTTGATTTTTTCGGTTATTTTTTATTCGGTTCGGTTTCGCTTTCGGTTTTTCGGGTTTAAGAAAATCATGACTGTTCGATTTAGATATCGGATTCGGTTCGGGTACAGTTATATCTTATTCGGTTCGGTTCAGCTCGGTTATTCGGTTAATAACCGAAATGGCCACCCCGATCAAAGATATTCTGGATAGAAGCGGTTTCCAAGGTCATGGTTATGGTTCCTTTGAAAAGGTCGAGTATGTCCATGCCATGAACGTACCAACTTTTGTGGGCTTGGGCTAAGGCCCATCATTTACTACACTACTATGATCGGAGCCGAATATTACGAACTAAGATGGTTAACTGTTTCAAAGGGAATAATATCACTAAAAAGATATAAAATTTTTGAATTTAATAAATAAATAATTTTTAAAATTTTAGTAAATAAATATATGAACTATTAATTTTATATAAAAATATGTAAATTTTAATTCTTTTTTGTATAAATATACAAAAATATTAAACTCTGTGTCCATTTATACGGAAAATTTTAAAGTTCGTATATTTTTATGTATTTTTACCATAAATTTGTATAATTTTATATAGAATTAAAAGTTTATACATTTACTTATAAAATTTAAAAAGTTCACAATTTTTTTTGGGATATTTTTTTTTCAAAAACAAAGAAGAACATTTTAAAATATCTAGACCTCGCTTACACGCGGAAGCTTGTGGTTGGTCTTAAGATGATAAGGGATTCGGTCCACGCCTAAATCCTCTCTTGAAAAGAAAATAAAAAATCAAAGAGAACCAACAATAATAGTAAGGAAAATGGTTGTGGTCGCCAATGACACAGCACGGGGACCCGCCTGAACTACGATAATTGTTTTTTTCTTCTGATTGTATATTTACGACAACCGGCTTGTGTTCTAAATGTTTACAGACCGAACCGATTAAAAAAAATAATCGAGAAAACGATAATTTTTTTGAAAATATGAGTTTTTTTAGAACAAAGAAAATAGAATCCGAACCGAAACTTGAAATGATCTGAACCGAAACTTGAAATGACGTGTTTTGGCCATGCAAGTATGTATTAGGATTTTGGACGGATACAATGATACTTGATCACTGGAATGGATGGATCCAATTTAGTTGGCTCACCACTTTCTTGACAGAAAGAATTGCAAACAAACCCCTAAAAGATGCAAATAGATATGCATTCTGGCTGACACATGATGACATTTACCGATTTCCAAATCCAGTAGAACACACAATGCTGAATCGACCCATCATTACCTAAACTGAAAAATACCACAGAGGCGCAAAGAGAAAGAACAGACGATATTTTAACCAAAAAAAAACCAAAGCTTTAGACTCGCAAAGACATAGGACGACTACTCCACGGCCCAGAAGCAACTCCGAGCTCCATCAGAACTCAAAGATATCAGCAGACGCCATTATCGGCTGCGCTGGACAGGCAATCTGCCATGGGTTCTGCATAGATTCAGGGATCTCAGGAATATCCAGAGCCATCCCGCTCATCTCCTCAACCATCTCCAACACCGAGTTCAACGACCTCAGCCTATCTGTCAACTCCGACGCCTGCGCCCTCAGAACGTTGTTCTGCGCCTCCATATCGGTGTACCTCCTCGTAGCTGCCCCAATCTGCTCGGAGACCTTGGAGTTCTCGTTCTTCAGAGTGGTCGCTTCATTGCTCAGGTCCTCCAGCTGCTTCTGCTTCCTCATGCGAGACCTCCGAGCAGATTCCTATACTCCGCACATGAGAAGACCTACGAGCGGCTCACCCGGGAATTCCTGTCCTCGTTCAGCTGCTATTTCCCACGTGATCAGTCTGTCTCCGGGGCGTACATGGATTTTCGCCTACTCAACCAAGAATACCGATTGGCCCATCATTTACTACACTACTATGATCGGAGCCGAATATTACGAACTAAGATGGTTAACTGTTTCAAAGGGAATAATATCACTAAAAAGATATAAAATTTTTGAATTTAATAAATAAATAATTTTTAAAATTTTAGTAAATAAATATATGAACTATTAATTTTATATAAAAATATGTAAATTTTAATTCTTTTTTGTATAAATATACAAAAATATTAAACTCTGTGTCCATTTATACGGAAAATTTTAAAGTTCGTATATTTTTATGTATTTTTACCATAAATTTGTATAATTTTATATAGAATTAAAAGTTTATACATTTACTTATAAAATTTAAAAAGTTCACAATTTTTTTTGGGATATTTTTTTTTCAAAAACAAAGAAGAACATTTTAAAATATCTAGACCTCGCTTACACGCGGAAGCTTGTGGTTGGTCTTAAGATGATAAGGGATTCGGTCCACGCCTAAATCCTCTCTTGAAAAGAAAATAAAAAATCAAAGAGAACCAACAATAATAGTAAGGAAAATGGTTGTGGTCGCCAATGACACAGCACGGGGACCCGCCTGAACTACGATAATTGTTTTTTTCTTCTGATTGTATATTTACGACAACCGGCTTGTGTTCTAAATGTTTACAGACCGAACCGATTAAAAAAAATAATCGTTTTTTTCTTCTGATTGTATATTTACGACAACCGGCTTGTGTTCTAGATGTTTACAGACCGAACCGATTAAAAAAAATAATCGAGAAAACGATAATTTTTTTGAAAATATGAGTTTTTTTAGAACAAAGAAAATAGAATCCGAACCGAAACTTGAAATGATCTGAACCGAAACTTGAAATGACGTGTTTTGGCCATGCAAGTATGTATTAGGATTTTGGACGGATACAATGATACTTGATCACTGGAATGGATGGATCCAATTTAGTTGGCTCACCACTTTCTTGACAGAAAGAATTGCAAACAAACCCCTAAAAGATGCAAATAGATATGCATTCTGGCTGACACATGATGACATTTACCGATTTCCAAATCCAGTAGAACACACAATGCTGAATCGACCCATCATTACCTAAACTGAAAAATACCACAGAGGCGCAAAGAGAAAGAACAGACGATATTTTAACCAAAAAAAAACCAAAGCTTTAGACTCGCAAAGACATAGGACGACTACTCCACGGCCCAGAAGCAACTCCGAGCTCCATCAGAACTCAAAGATATCAGCAGACGCCATTATCGGCTGCGCTGGACAGGCAATCTGCCATGGGTTCTGCATAGATTCAGGGATCTCAGGAATATCCAGAGCCATCCCGCTCATCTCCTCAACCATCTCCAACACCGAGTTCAACGACCTCAGCCTATCTGTCAACTCCGACGCCTGCGCCCTCAGAACGTTGTTCTGCGCCTCCATATCGGTGTACCTCCTCGTAGCTGCCCCAATCTGCTCGGAGACCTTGGAGTTCTCGTTCTTCAGAGTGGTCGCTTCATTGCTCAGGTCCTCCAGCTGCTTCTGCTTCCTCATGCGAGACCTCCGAGCAGATTCCCTGTTGGAAATCATCCTCTTCCTCTTCCTCTCGTCCGTTATGGTCGCGTACCTCGGATCAAGTTCTGATTCCGAGCTCATCTGCCTTTGCACCGATCCCATGTGCTGACTTGCTTTGTTTTTCTCCCCAAAATTCAACGATAATATTATACTACTAGATACGCAAAATGAGTTTATTTTGAGATTGTAGAAAGGATTTATCTTCCGCTTCCTAAACTACGAATAATTGAGTTAGATCAAACGAATATCTCCGAAAAAACACGATCGAAGAATCAGATCAGGCAGGATGATGAGATCAATTCATGAGAAAACATAGAACCAGTAGAGGAACACGACCGAGAAGGAGTGCAGAATACGAATCCGACGCATTAGGATCGCGTAGCTCATAGAAAACCTAGAATCATTTGTGTTTTCACAGGACCCCTAACTCATCACCCGATCCCCAAAACCAACAACCAAAATCCCAAACGAAAGAACCCTAGATCTAAATCGAACTCAGACAGATCTGACAACGGAAGAGAGGCGGATCGAAAGCAGGAAAGAGGGAAACGAAACGAGACTCTCTTGGATCGAAATCGAACGGAGATCGAAAGAGAAGAAAACTTAGCTGAGCGCAACGCCGCCAAACAAGAACACTAAATTCGAAAGCCAGACGAAAGAAGGTCGTGGGAAACCCAGGGAAGGGATTATAAAGGGGAAAATGATGAGCTGGCAATTAGAAAAATAGGATGATTCCGTGAATAATATATTTTTTCCCACGCAAGCGCTGACGCAAGCGCTGACGCCAGCGCTGATTATGTTTAGTGTTTACCAAGGAATCGCGTTTTTTGTAAATTGGTATTCTCCGAATATTCTCTCCTGTTTCTCCGAAAATGGAATATATATATATATATAAGCCAATATATATCTCATATATATATATACACCATCATAATCACAGATGCCATTTATGCTAATTGTTCATATGTGTAGATATATACGAGACATATACACAGAGACGAGGAATAAATACTGTTACGGTATTACTGATTATTAATTATATATATATATATAGATATAAAATACGGTCTCCCATTAATTTTGTTGATTTGTTCTTTATTTTTGTTTAAAACACCATTTACGGATAAATAAGTTGATGAGATGGGAATAGAATACTCGATAATAATACCATTTCCACAACTGAATTATAAAATATTTGACCTAACAAAAGCATAAATGAACCGCATCACCATTATAAAAAAAATGCGAGTAGTCCAGAACCTGTCTTAATTCATAGTTCATACCTCCATGTATATTATATGCATGTTGCATACATATAACTTCATTGTGCAGTTTGGTGCGTCCTAAAGTGAATATATTTATTTGGTTAAACCGTAAGAAGAAAAAATATCAAAATCTTTGGTTGGTTGATTTAATCACGTGTTAGATAAAAAAAATCTCACGGCGGAACTTCCAAAATGAAATGGGAATTTACATCAATGCCCTCGAACTCACATACTTGCCCAGGCAAAGGTGCATTAAAATACAGGGGCTCTATAGTAATTTCGCATAGGCCACCTAATCATCTTGCCGTACCAAAAAACGCGACGCGTCATCGTCTTCGTCTTCGTTCGTATTTCCGCGACGAAAGCGAGACAGAGAGAGGGAAATGGCGTGGCTGACAAGGCTCCTAGCAGCAGTGGCGTTCTTGGCCGTGGGGGTGATATTCTCACCGGAAATTTTCGGATCGAAATCGGACGGAGAGAATCCGGCAAAGGTGACGGCGTTGCTGAAGCTGGCCCATCTCCTCAGCTTCTCCACTGCTTGGGGCGCTGCTCTGTGGGTTACCTTCATCGGCGGCATCATCATGTTCAAGTTACGTTTCTCTCTTCTCTTCCAATTGCGATTTATATAATTTGTGTTTGTGATGCAGTAGGGATTCCGTTTTCTCCTACTTCAATTTCTTCGTTTTCTTACGGAATTGAGAGAGGAATGATCGAGACATGAGGAATAAAAGCATAAATGAACCGCATCACCATTATAAAAAAAATGCGAGTAGTCCAGAACCTGTCTTAATTCATAGTTCATACCTCCATGTATATTATATGCATGTTGCATACATATAACTTCATTGTGCAGTTTGGTGCATCCTAAAGTGAATATATTTCTTTGGTTAAACCGTAAGAAGAAAAAATATCAAAATCTTTGGTTGGTTGATTTAATCACGTGTTAGATAAAAAAAATCTCACGGCGGAACTTCCAAAATGAAATGGGAATTTACATCAATGCCCTCGAACTCACATACTTGCCCAGGCAAAGGTGCATTAAAATACAGGGGCTCTATAGTAATTTCGCATAGGTCACCTAATCATCTTGCCGTACCAAAAAAAACGCGAGGCGTCATCGTCTTCGTCTTCGTTCGTACTTCCGCGACGATAGCGAGAGAGAGAGAGAGGGAGAGAGAGGGAAATGGCGTGGCTGACAAGGCTCCTAGCAGCAGTGGCGTTCTTGGCCGTGGGGGTGATATTCTCACCGGAAATTTTCGGATCGAAATCGGACGGAGAGAATCCGGCAAAGGTGACGGCGTTGCTGAAGCTGGCCCATCTCCTCAGCTTCTCCACTGCTTGGGGCGCTGCTCTGTGGGTTACCTTCATCGGCGGCATCATCATGTTCAAGTTACGTTTCTCTCTTCTCTTCCAATTGCGATTTATATAATTTGTGTTTGTGATGCAGTAGGGATTCCGTTTTCTCCTACTTCAATTTCTTCGTTTTCTTACGGAATTGAGAGAGGAATGATCGAGACAGTTTTATCTCTTAGAACTAATCGAGGGCATCGGTGATTGGATTTAGGGGAAATTTACGTGATGGTGTAAGAATGAAAACTGAGCTATGCTGATTTCCTTGTTAATTTCATCTCACCAGGAATTTGCCGAGGCATCAGTTTGGTAACCTTCAAAGCAAGATGTTTCCGGCGTATTTCACTTTGGTGGGTATATGTTGCGCGATTTCACTGGCTGCTTTTGGCTATTTGCACCCATGGAAGTCTTCTTCTGCAGTGGAGAAGTATCAGCTAGGGTTTCTACTGTCCGCTTTTGCTTTCAATCTCTCCAATTTGTTAGTATTTACGCCCATGACTATCGAGGTACGCGTCTGCCCAACTCCCATCTTATGTTTTCTATGCTTCTTTTCAAAGTGTTCCTCGTGCGATCATCTATTGCTATTTGCTAATCCTCTTTGAATCAATTTTGATTCCTAACGCTTCATAATCAGGCTGTAATATGTAAATTTATATCTTCAATTATCCTTGAAACGATATGGGCAAAGGTGTTTATCGGTGGTCTTTTTGTTCTGCCATGGTTCTTAGTTTCACTTTGCTCGTTTGGAGTTGGGTGCACTTTCTTTTTGTGCTGATGTTACAGTAAACAGTCACAGTGGTGAACATCCATGTCTGATCTTCCTTGTTCAAGTTGTTCCTTTCTTTGTTGGCATCAAGCTGTCTTCACTATTGTCCATCTATTATGACTTGTGTATTTCTGTAGTTTCTAATGCTTGAGTTCTATCATTGTCGGCATTGTATCATCATTATGTAGATGATGAAGCAAAGGCACAAAGTGGAGAAAGAGAATAGCATCGGAACAGAAATCGGGTGGTCCAAGAACCAAGAGGTCGCAAAGAGTAACCCAAAGCTAGCTGCCATGAACAAGAAATTCGGAATGATTCACGGGCTATCATCACTAGCCAATATCATGTCCTTTGGTAGCCTTGCCATACACTCTTGGTATCTAGCTGGGAAGATCAATCTCTAGTTTTGCCGATTCTCTCCTTGCTATGTTGTATCTTTGGAGAGAAACAGGGTTGGGCATATATACTCCCTTGCGAATAAATCTCTTATCATTTCAGCGGAAAACCATATGTAAGATTTGTCTTTCTCATATCAATGGAAGACCCAATATATTTCAGTGGTATGGTATCGTAATAGAGATTGTGCAAAGTCTGTGTTATCTCCTGTACTGGAGAATCCCGTCCCACATATATTGATCAAGATGTAGATTTCGCGGAAAGAAGGAATCTGGTGGATCTTAAGCCTATGACTTTAACTTCTAACCACTTTTTACATCTGTTGATTGATATCAACCTTCTGCAGGGTAGCTGGACAATATGAAAAAAGAATCACCCAGCTACACTTTCCAGGACCAGACCCTTGAAGAAACAAAGATATGGTTGTCAATGATGGGAGATTACACCATAGACGCCCACAACCAGCCATCTTACCGGGAGAAAAAGCATGACCACCAGTTGAAGACCCCTTGATGCGACAATCCCGCTAGCCAGTTTCAGTGATTCTCTCCCTCTGCGTAGAATAGCTGCTAGAAAGAAATTGACCCGTCGATGTTCTTGCTCCACCTTCATCCGCTTAAGCTCTTGCCGAATCATGTGTTTCAAGGCTTTCAGGTAAGAGCTCATGTCATGGTCCCTTTTGATGATTCCTTCTGAACCATAAGCAGAACGGTCGCTGAGAATCTCTAGTGGGTGAGGTGAGTTCAAGAACATTCTCTTTGCAGCTCTAAGCTCTTTCTCTGCTTCACCAGTATCTGTATATGTAGACGATAAGACATAGAGACCACTGCCTGGAGGAAGCAGCGGATGCGGGGGCGATAATTTCTCGTCGGGCTGCAGAATTAGAAGCTCCCCCATCGGAGAATACAGCAGTTTCTGCATAATCAGGCAGGGAATGAGCCGATGGATAAGGATCTTAAACCGGTAGAAAATGTAAGGAGAGAAAGTTACCTGCTTGTTTAGACATGGATGATTCCGGAACTTTCCATTAACAGCCTTGAGAATCCGAGCAACACGGTCAGGGTAAATGCAGGAGAAGGCCCTGGGGACGATATCGTTGTGCATGGTTATTGCCAGGAGATGAGACTTGGGCAACCCGAGTTTCTGAAGAAGCCTTTCGCCTCCACACATGATGCAAGGCGAGCCGAAAGTGACGACGGGAAGAAGAGAAGAAGCCGGGGCCTGGCCCCGGATAAGAAGCATGAGATTCACAAGCAAAGACAAACTTCCGCCGAGAGAATGGCCAGTGAACCGGAGAAAAGCTCGGTTTTTGGCACGGGAACTGAGGTGGGCATGAACTTCAGGCAGCATTTGCTCGTATATCCCTTTCGCTGCCTCATAAATCCCTCTGTGAACAAGCACATCTAGTTCCTGGAAATTAATGGCATCAAGGTTTTAAGCTTTTTCATGATGATCCGACAAGAGTGATTCCAAAGAATTTGAGAAAGAGACGATACCTCGAATGGAACAGGCTCGAATAGAAGGTTAGCTTGCCAGGACGCCAATGATTCCGATCCCTGCAAAGGCGTTCATCCTCTCAAACCTTTTTTACATTCCATCATCATCAGCATCGAACATGTTCACGCCCATAAAAGATGGAAGTACCTGGATGAAGAAGAATCTGGTGCCGTTTTTGTCGTCGTCGCAGACAAACCACTCGCAGGGAGGAGAGCGTGTTGATTTAAGATCATCGGCTACGGCCTGCTTAACCTCTTCCTGTGCCGCCACAACGGCCGGCACTGAGTCAGCTGTCGTCGTCGCAGACAAACCACTCGCAGGGAGGAGAGCGTGTTGATTTAAGATCATCGGCTACGGCCTGCTTAACCTCTTCCTGTGCCGCCACAACGGCCGTCACTGAGTCAGCAGTCGCCATTAGAGATGAGTTGGCGTCAGCCTCATCATCCACGGGTCTTGAGGATCTGAAGGGAATCACACTCTTCGAATGCAAATACAGACGAGACGCAGCTGAAGCAGCTATTCTGTACGCGGCAGTTGGGCTTATCATCTTCTTCTCTTCTCCATCCTCCCTCCTCTCTTCTCCCTTCTCTCTCTCCTCTCCTGCATCAGTCTTCCTCTTCTCGATCGAGGATGTCACGAATCTAAGGCCGGCGTATTTCAAGAGATTCTCCGGCTGAAAAAAAAGCCAGAAACGAAGTCAATAGCCATCTTTTTTTTTGTTTTTTGGTGGCGGGTCAGTGGGAGTCACCTTGATTTTAGGGATGGAATAAGCCAAATTCCCCAAATAGGACATTTTCGCAAAGAGTCGAGTTTCAGACAATGGAACCTTCCTCAGCATCCTCCTAAACTCTTCCCCATTGATTCTCTTCTCTTCTTCTTCCTCTTCTCCCTCTCCTTCTTCATCGTTACCACTGCAGGACTCACACTCGTGTCTTCCATCGTCTTCCACTGTCACTGTCTCCTCTTTCCTCCAGAGAGATCCCACCTGCAAAATCTTCAAAACCCAGTTCCCCTTTTGCCCCCTCTCCGTTTCTCCGATCTCCTCCGTGCTCCTTCTCCTCTCCCTTTCACAATTTGCTCCTTCGCCTCCAACCGGCCATGGGATCTCTAGCCGCCGTGCCCTCAGAGGAATCCCGTACGACGCCGATTTCTTCTCCGGCGGCGGAGCCACCGTGGGTTTGTCCTCCATGGAACAGCCGATCGGACCAACGCGAGGCAAGCCCACCGGGATCTTCGTAGATAATCCCTGCATCGACATTTTAAAGCACACGCCATCCATGTTTCCTCCCCTTCCTCTCCTCTCCTCCCTTCCTCCTTATATGTTAAAAGAGGACAGAAGAAAGATCCCCACGTACAGGCGCCTATACGTATAACGTATACAAATACGTATATGCGTAGAACTCTAACGTATGTTTCTAGATAAAGACAGAAGAAGAAGAAAAAAAGGAGGCGTGGCGTAGTCCGAATTTTCAGGGATTAGCGTGCTCCCTGATACTTTGAACGGCTTTCTCGTCGTTTTGCTAGATTCCCTGTCTTCGGCGGATCAACCAATACTCTTCGTTGACAGAGATCTCTGCATATACATACAGTACACATGTATATATATATACACACACACACGGAAACAGGTGACCAAACTTTGACACGCTTTGATGCGGCGCAATTTGAATCTTGAGAGGCGAAAGTATAAAGTATGAATTAAACTAAACCAATTCGGATTCATCTCCTTATATTCATTTGAAATCTAAAGATTGGTTAGGGGTTAGATTGTGAAGCAGAGTACCGTATTAAAGTCGAACAGGTGAAAGGGGGGTTGGGATCTTTCTAGGTGAATTTAGGAGAGCGAGATTCAGGGACACGTGGAAGGCGATGAAGCCCCCAAAGAACCTGGCTCTCCCACGTTCCTGGGGAGTTGGGACCAGCCACTTGAAACCTACCTCTTCATCCCCTCATAAATAAATATATATATATATATACATATGAAAATACACAATTTAAACATTTAAAACCCAAATTGAAGCGAGTTAGTTTGTACTGTTGGAGGAGGAGAGAGATTAAAAAAAAGTTTATAAAATTAGGTTGTAAATTGTTATAGGCGCATTGGCAGAGTTTCGTTTAAAAAAAACATTTGTGTTAGGGCAATTAACACAAATGTTTTGTATGTTCTCTAACCACTGTCCAAAACTCACAGTTATGTCCCAGAGAGCCAGACAACCCTAAGCTACAACATTTTGAAATCAACGGTACGATTTGCTTCCTCACTTCCTTGATTCGTGTCTGGGTAATACTTCAAGGCGAGCTTCCCGTAAGCACTCTTGATCTGTTCATCAGACGCACCTCTCGGCGCTTGCAGTACATCGTAATAGCTCTTCCTGGATCGTCGAAGATCTCAGACCATGTAAAACGCGGGCCTAAGCATTCACATATACGCTATATCAGAAGCATATATGCACACATTTCCCACCAGAACACGCGCATCGATGCTCGTTAAGTATAGGAAGAACGCTTACCCGGCAAGGACGTCGATTGCTTAGGAAAGGGCGAACAATACGAAAAAAAGCTTCGAACTCTGAAGGGCCATGGAAATGCAGATCAGGAGAGAATCGGATCTCTCCGAGATCTTCAATTCCTAGGTTCCCTTCAACCTCGTTGACAACGACAATCCACCAATTTCGAGTAGACGAAGGTCCCCTTCCCTTCTGATCGGCTGAACTCTTCTTCTTCGTCTCTCGTTCGCTTATGCTTTCGTTCTTCTTCCGCCGAACTAGAATTCGAAACGCAGAATTCTGGTTACGTGTAATCGGAGTTTCAGTCTGTGATTGTTTCAGCCAATAAAGTACCGCCACGTGGAAAATTGCCCGCGCTCTACCGGACGACGCCGTTTTACTTACAGTTACATGAAGTAGCTCCCGCGAATCAGCTAATGGGCTTCGAATGGATGATCGATGAAAGCAATGGGCTTTGAGCTGTGAATAATCGTAAATGAACAAAGACAGAAAGAAGAAACAAGCATACCATATCCCAACTGCAAATTTAGGATACGTACATATATATATATATATATAATTCTATAGGCCCAAAAGCAAAATGTAAATGAAAATAGAGGGCCCAAAGTGTAAGCATCAAAGGGCTCAAAATTAATTATATGGGCCTACTTTTCCAAATCAGAGTGGGCCTCACTCGTGGGGTCCCCAGATGGATTATTTATGATTATGACTTCCTTTTCTTTTATTTTTATTTTTTTTTCAAGTACAGATTGCTCCTGAAGACATATCCACTGTCAATGAAATGACGGGTCGGTCAATTCATTTGTTTGCTACAGTTTTGGTAGGGGCATAGCCCCCTTAACCTCCTTTATCACCACATCCTAAGATTATCTTATGCAATTCTATGCACTATCTATCTACAGGTAATAGCAACGAACAAACGAACAAAAAGCCACGTCAAAGGTCCCATCTTTTTAGGACATGACAGTTAATCTCCTATGTAAAACCACCACTGGTTCCAAATTCTAATGGGTTAAACAATCACATTTAACCTCTTTCATCACCATATATCCCAAGATAAATAAAAACCCATGCTTTCAATTTTTTTTAATTATTCTTACAGGAGAAAACGAAATATAAAGGCCCCACCCCCCACAATCATTTTCAGAAAAAAAAACAGAGCCTTTTCAGAAGGTGGGCTCATAAGTATAGCCATAGGCTGCCACTGTTTGCAACTGCATTCTCTCAGGACAACTCATAAACCATCCCCATGTGGGGTCTCATATCTATACATTGGATACACACAGAGCCCATTTTGTTCTATATATATATATACACGCAGCATCAGATTCGGGACAAGCCCATGTGGGATCGATCATCTATCTTGTATTTCAGAATTTTTTTTAGACAGCTAATGGTGTTTTGTAGTACCATCCAACCAATGACAGAGAAAATAATGTCAGCAACGGAGTATCAATCAATGTGAATACCAAAGATTCCTAAAATAGCACTTGCTTGGGGTTCAACATAATCGATGCGCTGCCACTCTTTCAATTTTCTTTCTTTCATATGGCGAAGCAATGTTGCAGACCATGATGACAAGCTCAGAAACCCTGATTCAAAGGCTCTGAATAGTGAAAACGGTCTGTTATAGATTCAGCAAATGGATTACATAACATATATATATATATGTATGTGTGTGTGTAGTTTGTAAAAATACCGAAGCTCATATACATAAGATTGGAAAACAACAAGGCAAGGCAACCCCAATAGTAGGAGGATTAGAATGGTGGGGTTCTCATTCGTGGTCATGGGGATGATGCATTATTATCAAAGTTGCTGTCAGATAAAGAAAAAATCAAGAAGAAATAAGGGAACAAATATTTGCAAAAGTCCAATACGATGACCAATACCAATTCGGATTCATCTCCTTATATTCATTTGAAATCTAAAGATTGGTTAGGGATTAGATTGGGAAGCAGAGTACCGTATTAAAGTCGAACAGGTGAAAGGGGGGTTGGGATCTTTCTAGGTGAATTTAGGAGAGCGAGATTCAGGGACACGTGGAAGGCGACGAAGCCCCCAAAGAACCTGGCTCCCCCAAAGACCCTGGCTCTCCCACGTTCCTGGGGAGGTGGGACCAGCCACTTGAAACCTACCTCTTCATCCCCTCATAAATAAATATATATATATATATACATATGAAAATACACAATTTAAACATTTAAAACCCAAATTGAAGCGAGTTAGTTTGTTACTGTTGGAGGAGGAGAGAGATTAAAAAAAGTTTATAAAATTAGGTTGTAAATTGTTATAGGCGCATTGGCAGAGTTTCGTTTAAAAAAAACATTTGTGTTAGGGCAATTAACACAAATGTTTTGTATGTTCTCTAACCACTGTCCAAAACTCACAGTTATGTCCCAGAGAGCCAGACAACCCTAAGCTACAACATTTTGAAATCAACGGTACGATTTGCTACCTCACTTCCTTGATTCGTGTCTGGGTGATACTTCAAGGCGAGCTTCCCGTAAGCACTCTTGATCTGTTCATCAGACGCACCTCTCGGCGCTTGCAGTACATCGTAATAGCTCTTCCTGGATCGTCGAAGATCTCAGACCATGTAAAACGCGGGCCTAAGCATTCACATATACGCTATATCAGAAGCATATATGCACACATTTCCCACCAGAACACGCGCATCGATGCTCGTTAAGTATAGGAAGAACGCTTACCCGGCAAGGACGTCGATTGCGTAGGAAAGGGCGAACAATACGAAAAAAAGCTTCGAACTCTGAAGGGCCATGGAAATGCAGATCAGGAGAGAATCGGATCTCTCCGAGATCTTCAATTCCTAGGTTCCCTTCAACCTCGTTGACAACGACAATCCACCAATTTCGAGTAGACGAAGGTCCCCTTCCCTTCTGATCGGCTGAACTCTTCTTCTTCGTCTCTCGTTCGCTTATGCTTTCGTTCTTCTTCCGCCGAACTAGAATTCGAAACGCAGAATTCTGGTTACGTGTAATCGGAGTTTCAGTCTGTGATTGTTTCAGCCAATAAAGTACCGCCACGTGGAAAATTGCCCGCGCTCTACCGGACGACGCCGTTTTACTTACAGTTACATGAAGTAGCTCCCGCGAATCAGCTAATGGGCTTCGAATGGATGATCGATGAAAGCAATGGGCTTTGAGCTGTGAATAATCGTAAATGAACAAAGACAGAAAGAAGAAACAAGCATACCATATCCCAACTGCAAATTTAGGATACGTACATATATATATATATATATAATTCTATAGGCCCAAAAGCAAAATGTAAATGAAAATAGAGGGCCCAAAGTGTAAGCATCAAAGGGCTCAAAATTAATTATATGGGCCTACTTTTCCAAATCAGAGTGGGCCTCACTCGTGGGGTCCCCAGATGGATTATTTATGATTATGACTTCCTTTTCTTTTATTTTTATTTTTTTTTCAAGTACAGATTGCTCCTGAAGACATATCCACTGTCAATGAAATGACGGGTCGGTCAATTCATTTGTTTGCTACAGTTTTGGTAGGGGCATAGCCCCCTTAACCTCCTTTATCACCACATCCTAAGATTATCTTATGCAATTCTATGCATTATCTATCTACAGGTAATAGCAACGAACAAACGAACAAAAAGCCACGTCAAAGGTCCCATCTTTTTAGGACATGACAGTTAATCTCCTATGTAAAACCACCACTGGTTCCAAATTCTAATGGGTTAAACAATCACATTTAACCTCTTTCATCACCATATATCCCAAGATAAATAAAAACCCATGCTTTCAATTTTTTTTTAATTATTCTTACAGGAGAAAACGAAATATAAAGGCCCCACCCCCCACAATCATTTTCAGAAAAAAAAACAGAGCCTTTTCAGAAGGTGGGCTCATAAGTATAGCCATAGGCTGCCACTGTTTGCAACTGCATTCTCTCAGGACAACTCATAAACCATCCCCATGTGGGGTCTCATATCTATACATTGGATACACACAGAGCCCATTTTGTTCTATATATAATATATATATATACACGCAGCATCAGATTCGGGACAAGCCCATGTGGGGATCGATCGATCATCTATCTTGTATTTCAGAATTTTTTTTAGACAGCTAATGGTGTTTTGTAGTACCATCCAACCAATGACAGAGAAAATAATGTCAGCAACGGAGTATCAATCAATGTGAATACCAAAGATTCCTAAAATAGCACTTGCTTGGGGTTCAACATAATCGATGCGCTGCCACTCTTTCAATTTTCTTTCTTTCATATGGCGAAGCAATGTTGCAGACCATGATGACAAGCTCAGAAACCCTGATTCAAAGGCTCTGAATAGTGAAAACGGTCTGTTATAGATTCAGCAAATGGATTACATAACATATATATATATATGTATGTGTGTGTGTAGTTTGTAAAAATACCGAAGCTCATATACATAAGATTGGAAAACAACAAGGCAAGGCAACCCCAATAGTAGGAGGATTAGAATGGTGGGGTTCTCATTCGTGGTCATGGGGATGATGCATTATTATCAAAGTTGCTGTCAGATAAAGAAAAAATCAAGAAGAAATAAGGGAACAAATATTTGCAAAAGTCCAATACGATGACCAATTGAATCCACATGCATCTACACAAATGTTAACAATCAGACAAAAGATCCTGGAAAAACAGCCTTCACACTTTCACACTCACCATTCCTCCTTTGCACGAATAGAGCTCGCGGTACATCCAAAACTATTGCACGGCTCTCTGAAACCACCAGAGAGAGAGAGAGAGGCTTACAGGTACCGGGACTAGCTCCATTATGGAGCCTCCATAGTCTTCGAGAGTCATTTATGGAATCTTAGGGTTCTGAATTGGGTTTGCAAAGGGCAAATTATTTGCCAGATTTAATGCGTAAAAATAGCGCGATGGAAGCAGAGGAATTAGACAATGGCCTCCACTCGTCCATGGCGGAAACCAAGGGTTTTTTTTTTTGTGGGCCTCCCATGAACTATACAGAATTTAGACGGCAATCTAGAATATCAACTGATACAATAATATCTTACATAGACTATGTAGGCATGGGCTTAGGTTCCTTCCTGAAAGCAAAATCTATACAGCGGATTATATATATATATATATGGGATTTAATGGCTTAATTTTGGGTTTGATTTACCTGGACGAGACGGGGTTCAAGCTGCGGGCTAACCCGTTTAGGGCACTGTAACTTTTGGAGCTGAACCCTAGGCAGCCGAAGAGTCCATGCCTGTACGGCAAGTATGTCCTCTTCTTCATCTCCTCTGCCTGAGCTCTGTTCGCCGTGTAATGCAGCTCGTGCGCCGACGGCTGCAGACCCCGCCGCTTCGCTATGCCGTTCGTCGGGTTTCCGGAAGGGGGCAAACGAATCGATTGGGAAAGGGCATTTTGGGTAACAAATTTCCGGACAATACGTGGCGGCACGTGGTGGGTTCACATAGACCCCAAAGGCATTTATTTACTAATTAAAAGCCCTAATGTTCACTACCCAATAACTATGGTTAATGGGCCAGGCCCATTTTAAGAATCTGGGTCTGGTTATTGCAAAATACAAATGTTTGGGCTGAAGTGGGCCTCATTTGATTGGGCTTTTAAATATAACACCCAATTTGCTCTATTACCGGGAGGTTTAGACCACCAATTAATTAACCCAATCCATTAAATCATCCAACCACTGAGAGTAATGCCTGGCGCCAGTGGTAAGACAAGGGAAGCAATTCCTTCTTAGTATAGCTAGATTGGGTTGGGTTGACCTAACCATTATAATAGATTAGGGTAACCCACTAAACCTATTTAATTTAATTCATTTATAAATTAATATATCTTACATTACAAATTTTATATTTTGATAATATTTTATAAATTATATCCATTTGCATTTTATATGGAATTTGATTAGATTATGTTCGAGTTTGGTTAATTTTTTTTAGTATCATTTTGGATTTGGTTTTACATAAGATTTTTAATTTCGATTCGGAATTGGTTTTTACATGAGATTTTGTTGGATTTGGATTCTTTTTTTATATATAAAAATCTTCGTTTGATTCGATTAATTAGGTTCAAATTTGGATTTTATATAGGATTCCGTTCGATTCATATTTGATTCGAATTCGGTTCTTATATATAATTTTGTGATAAATGTTAAATATCATGTGACCACGTCAACACAATGACCAAACAGAACTCATATATATATATTTCTATCTACATAGGAAAAAAAACAATTATGATATTCTAGTCTTCTAGACACACAAACGATCCATATATATAATAATGCTTATAACTGTTTCTTCAGTCCAAAAACACACACGAAAAGGGTATGCTATTCGTGTTTGCCCATTCAAAGAAGTCACTGCATAAAAAAAAACTAAGTAAAAACAATGCACGGGAAAAGATCTTGACTTGAACAGAGAAAGAAGGAACAAAATCCAAAGGTTAGAGTTACCTGAAAGGGGAAAGGCTCTTGGAGAAGATCGGAGTCATAATCAAGAATGGGCGTATCGGTGACCATAGGGTGGCTGAATTCTTCCTTGGGATGAGGTTGGTATATGACGGATTGGTCCATGTAGCTGCGGATACTCTGACGCCGCACGAGCGGCGGAAGACGGAGCAGAGTACAGGACGAAGTGCATGGGACTCGCCGGAGCGCTGAAGAAGTACCCCGGCGAGGGATCACGGCCGGGGCTCGACGGAGCGCTGACGAAGGGCGTGGAGCAAGCTGAGCCGAGGTCGTCGGTGAAACGCGGCGTGTCGGAAGAGTCGGCAGGCTCCGGATCGCCATGGCCGACGCTCTGTGAGATAACCATGACGAAAGAAATGGATAAACAAGAAAATGGAGATCAATGGCTGCGGGGATTTTTAGCTTCTGTTACAAGGAAATGTTTCTGCAGAGAGCGCGGGGAGCGAGGTGAATTCGAGGTCATATAATACAATCCAGTCCAGTGAGGCTGCTTTTTCTCTTTTATTTTCTCAAAATAATAAAATAAATAATTCAGATTCTGACAATAAAAGGAAAATCAATTAAAATAATATTTCTAAATATTCTACAACGTATGTGCTCTCCTTACAACGTCCCATCAACTTGTCTTGTTTCTATTCTACCCCACTGTTAAATTACGTTTCTGCCCACGGCCAACCCTTGCCTATTTACCCTTTATACCCTTCTTCCTTCTTTTTAATTTCAACACTACCATTGTATTCAAGTACGATGGGGTCCATTAATTTAAATGCATTTGTTCATATTTAACTTGCAACTTCGGAGTTAGTTAGGTTTATGACATGGTGGTGGTGGTTGCTTCTATTTCAGTTCCTTGTTTGATTTTTATATCAGGTTTCAATTCAATCATAAGCCATATAGTTAGAGATAAAATTTCAGAATTTGAGATCTTTTAAAAATTGAAATGCATATTGTGTTGGAAAAAAAATATGAGAAATGTATATTGAAACTCAATTTTCGTTTCTTTTCCCATATGACATTAAGTTTGTATATATGGGCACGTAATATTCAATCAACCATGTAATCATACATAAAGTTATATATACTATGTGTTTAAAACGCATAAATTCTTCTCTCGTAAAAAAAATAATTTATAATTTAAAAATGATTACATTTTTTGAAAAGAAGTTAAATATAATTTGAAATATTTTAAAATATGAACTAAAAAGTCAAATCACAATTACTAATATAAAAAATACAATTGGCAAAAAAATTGATAAAAACATGAACGTCAAAATGGATAGTCAAATACATCACAGAGAGAACGGAAAGCTACAAATAACAAACATAATTAAATCAGACAAAACGGGGGGCAAACGAATCGATTGGGAAAGGGCATTTTGGGTAACAAATTTCCGGACAATACGTGGCGGCACGTGGTGGGTTCACATAGACCCCAAAGGCATTTATTTACTAATTAAAAGCCCTAATGTTCACTACCCAATAACTATGGTTAATGGGCCAGGCCCATTTTAAGAATCTGGGTCTGGTTATTGCAAACTACAAATGTTTGGGCTGAAGTGGGCCTCATTTGATTGGGCTTTTAAATATAACAGCCAATTTGCTCTATTACCGGGAGGTTTAGACCACCAATTAATTAACCCAATCCATTAAATCATCCAACCACTGAGAGTAATGCCTGGCGCCAGTGGTAAGACAAGGGAAGCAATTCCTTCTTAGTATAGCTAGATTGGGTTGGGTTGACCTAACCATTATAATAGATTAGGGTAACCCACTAAACCTATTTAATTTAATTCATTTATAAATTAATATATCTTACATTACAAATTTTATATTTTGATAATATTTTATAAATTATATCCATTTGCATTTTATATGGAATTTGATTAGATTTTGTTGGATTTGGATTCTTTTTTTTTATATAAAAATCTTCGTTTGATTCGATTAATTAGGTTCAAATTTGGATTTTATATAGGATTCCGTTCGATTCATATTTGATTCGAATTCGGTTCTTATATATAATTTTGTGATAAATGTTAAATATCATGTGACCACGTCAACACAATGACCAAACAGAACTCATATATATTTCTATCTACATAGGAAAAAAAAAACAATTATGATATTCTAGTCTTCTAGACACACAAACGATCCATATATATAATAATGCTTATAACTGTTTCTTCAGTCCAAAAACACACACGAAAAGGGTATGCTATTCGTGTTTGCCCATTCAAAGAAGTCACTGCATAAAAAAAAACTAAGTAAAAACAATGCACGGGAAAAGATCTTGACTTGAACAGAGAAAGAAGGAACAAAATCCAAAGGTTAGAGTTACCTGAAAGGGGAAAGGCTCTTGGAGAAGATCGGAGTCATAATCAAGAATGGGCGTATCGGTGACCATAGGGTGGCTGAATTCTTCCTTGGGATGAGGTTGGTATATGACGGATTGGTCCATGTACGGATACGGATACTGTGTAAGAAGATGCTGATGATGATGATGATTGTTGTGAATGAACGGGTTGTTCATGGTCATGTATCTGTTTGGAAGCTCCGGAGCCGTCATGGAGTTCATGACATGGTTTCTGAGATAAGTGTTAAGGATGTTGCTTTGATTATCCAACATCGACGACGAGGGTTTTGATTCTGCGAAACACGTGTAATCCTCTTGAGGATGTCTGTTGTTTCTCTGGAGATTCAAGCGGTACTTCTGCATTTCAATTTCCATGCAAATCTCTGTAATTAATTTCTTGTTACCCAAGAAAAGATGTATACATACATACATACATACATACATACATACATATATATAGAGAGAGAGATAGAGAGAAAGCTGGTGAGTAGTACCTGAAGGTGGCTGGCGACGTTGTTCCTGGACAATCCCTGGACTTTCATTTCTTGCATGCATTTCAGGATCGTCTTCGGAACCGCTTCTGCGATTTGCGTTTGCGTTTGCGTTTGCGTTTGAAAAGAGTAACATGAAAACCCTAAAAAAACGAAGAACAAGAAGGAGAGAGGGAGATTTCATCATTACTCTCAATTCCGATTACGTTGACAGCTTGGAGGAACTTCTGGTGAAGGTCATCAGTCCACGTCATCCGGTTTTTCTTCGAAGCCGCTGTTTCTTCCCCTTTGTTTTCTTCTTCGCCGGCTCTGGTAGTAATCTTGTCTCGTACCGAACCGGCGGTCTGATCGGTTAACGGTCGAACCGGACGGGTTCGGGTCTTTCGAGCAATGTGTTGCCACAAGACCGCGATGGTCTCCTTGTTCACAGGCTTCACCAAATACTGACAAGCGCCGTACATCATCGCTTTCATCACTGCTTCCCTTTCGTGGTCCGTTGACATAACTGACCACACCCCACATTAATATATTTATTTTAAGAAATGGGACGCGACCGAACAGGACCAAAAACGAGGTGACTCGGATCTATTCAAGACGAACCTGGTCGACTCAGCCCGTGTTGCATCCCTAGATAAAAAAAAGAGCGTGTGAGTGTGAGATCTTACTAATAAAAGGGAGGTCCATGCGGGAACGAACGGCGATGAGAGCTTGGAGTCCATCTGTCCCGCGCATATGAAGATCCCACATCACTATGTCGACCTTTTCCTTGCCCGTTTTAAGACACGACATTGCCTCTTCCGCGTCATGACATGACGTCACTGATGAAATACACAATTTAGTATTAACACGTATATCATATCATAACCTAATTTCCACAAGTAATTAAGCCATTCAATACTTGGAGAGTTCATTAAAATTATACGTACGTACCTTGGTAGGAGTATAGTTTCATCATACTCTCCAATACGAGAAGATAGTTTAAATCGGAGTCGACGACCAGAATCCTAACATTCGCCGGAAACTCGTCTGAAAATTCGGTTCCGGAAGGTTGTCGCGGGACAAGAGCTGCGTCCATGTCCGACGTTA